ATTAAAGTAGAAGAAACAATATAATTATATGACAGCGAATCGAAAACAATTTTTCAATGTGTCGGTATAAAGTTCACGGCTAAACTGAAGAACATAGGTTTAGTCACATTGAGTAGTGACTTTGAAAGACTTTCCATACGTCTGTGTTTCGTCAATACGAAACCGATTGCATCTTTAGGCCTCGAAACACTCGAGATGCAAGAATGCAAACCGGATAATTGCTCGACTTTGATTCGGAGAGCAATCTTATTCTCAAGGAGAGAAGAAAATAGGAACGAGTTCTCTCCCATGGGGAGAAAATTACAGGATTTGAGAATCGAGAAAACTTTTGTTCTTCTCATAGAAGAGAAGCCAAGCTCAAAAGCGGATAAATTTTTTGAAGTTCTAGAGTACAAGCCACGGTTGAAAATCTTCAAAGGTAGAATGGACCAGGCCCACCAACAATGTTCAATCAAGTTCGAAATCTTCAGCCTATTGGAGACCTTGAGGAGGCGTGGGTGGTCATTGGAATTGTTGTCGTCGCAGTTGATATTACCAGTGAGAGACCTTATAACAGAGACCAAACCCGGATGAGATCTCGAAGGAGATAATGGTGTAGAGACCAATGGGTGAGGTGAAGGGACACGAGGATGCGAGCCATAGATCTGGCAGTTTAGAGACGGTGAGTCCTGCGGAAAGCTTAGGGTTTGATGGCGAAAGAGCAATTGGTGCAGATCTGGAAGAGGCGACGCCGACGGCTGCATCAGACGACAAAAGGTGAGATCAGATCTCTCGAAGGTCTCGCCAGAATCTATGGAAGACGACGGAGAGTGATAGAGGTTATCAAGGCAGAGCATGCCGAGAAGGTCTCGTCGGTAACAACGATGGCCGACGGAAGTTACAAGAAGGAGAGAGCCAAACTCCAGTAGGATTTTAACTTGTTGAGCAGTTACTCGATTCTTGAGCTTGGAAGAGTTTTTAGAGCGAACGGCCGCGTCCATTTTAATCTAATATCTCTTTGTGGTCTATAATTTTTAAGCTTTTGATGCTTCTCCTCGCATACTCATATTTCATGTGTTTCTATTGTTTGGTTGTGTCTTGATTTTTTTATAT